ATTCCTTACATAAGTAAGAAAATTGATGAAGTATATAGAAATGAAACATGTCATACCTGGCGCTCATGGGTTGCCAGTTCACTCATGCTAGCGATCTGTTGCTGCCGTGTCAACTGATGCCAGCGTTCTTTATTGTCACGGAGATCTTGCAACTCACGTACCTTCTTTAAGCCATCCAATGATTCTTCGAGTAAAAAAGACATGTCGTTAATGACGCGATTCGTAAACTTAATGAAGGCTGGAGCATTTTCTCTAAATTATTGAATAAGAGGTTGAGAAAACAAAAAAAGATTTTAACGATGAATAGAATATTCAATCATAGGGGCTAGTAAGCATGCTATCGATTAAAGTTAAAGAACGAGGTCAACGTCAGGTTGAACAGTACCGTTAAATGAATGAAAAAACAATAATATATGTCAGGAGGGTATCGTAATTAAGTGACACTTCAGCGAACCGGCAGACAAAAGCCATATTCGAATTAGAATGGCAATATAGATAACCTCATTGCAATAGTTCTACATTTAAGATCCAATGCTACTATAACTCTCAAATTAAAACAGGTGAATACATGTTTTGACTTAGGAGATACGCAAAAAGAATAGAATTACGCCAGATTCTGGATATTAACCGAAGGAATGAAGACCAAGATGGTGAGGCCTATGATCACAATCTCCTTTCGTTGTATAGACTTTGTTTGACCTTGTTTCCACAGCTTGGTCACATTGTCAGGAATTCCTAGATGAATGCTCCTTGTGCGGAATCCATATTATAAATGAAAATTTCCAGAGGCAAACCGTGAACTTGGTACATTCTCAGACATTTCGCCGGTATCGTCAGTGAGCCTTCTCAGTCCTAGCACCACACTACAACTCGTCAAATAAACAAATAAAATTAATTCCTTGATCACCTGTCTGCTATACAGTTGTGGTAACTCTCCCTTTATTGTGTTGTATTCACCTATCCTATATTCTCGTAACACCCCTTTACTATCACAATTTATAACTTGCTTATTTATACCTAATCGTAGATGTGTGCCCTTTTGAGCTAAGTTAGTGAAAACTATTCACACTCCCACTGTGATGGGTTGATCCAAGAGTTGTTTAGTCCGCAATCCTTTTCTTCCAGACCCTATAGAGTCTCCTTCTTGCGCCCTAGGATTCGTTTATCTGCTTAGTTTGGTGATTTCACTCGATCACCGCCACCATATCCGTGCTACTCGAGGCGCTATATTCTACACTCTGCCTCAAGCCTTTGATAGCACGTTTAGGGCAGCCGCACTACATTCTCAAGTAGCGTGGCAACCTAACTTGATGCCGCAGATTCGCTTATCACTCTTCGGCATGTGCGCCGAGTAAATCAGACGATCAGGCCTTTACTTCATGGATCACATCTATGACCAAACTTACCTACTAATAGCCAGATATCGATGGGCTCCACTGCATCTGTCGCTCTTCTATTTCTAATACCAAGTTTATGATTTTATTATGCTCTAGTCTCTTGTTACCGACCACCAAAGGTGATAGGCAGAATGTAGAACATAACGCATTGAGTAAGAGGGATAGTGGCAGCGATCGAGTGAAAGCACTAAACCAAGGAGATAAGAGAAGAATCCTAGGGAGCAAGAGGACGATTCTGATAGGACCTGGAAGAAGAAGATTGGGGACTAAACTGAAACCTCGAATCAGCACTCCCAACACAGTGGAGGGATGTGGGAATCAGTGATGAGAGTAAATAGGTCTCACTAAATCCGCTCGAAAGGGCAAACCTCGAGTAGGTTTAGCTAAGCAAGTTATATATTGAGATGGCGAAGAATTGTTACGAGGATATAGGAAAGGTGATTATGCCAGGATACAAGGAGAGATACTACAACAGTTTAGCAGACAATTAGACAAATGATCGAATTCACTTGCTTCTTTGACGTGTTGTGGTTTTGGTGCCAGGAATGCCAAGGCTCACTGACGATACCGACTATAATGCCGGCAAAACGTTTGTGAAAGTACCAAGTCCACAGTCCGACTCTGAAAATTATCATGCATACTATGGACTCCTGACAAGGTACATTCCTCTAGGCCCTCCTGACGATATGACCAAGTTGCGAAAACAAGGTCAAACAACTTATGTCCATATTAAGTCCAAATATGCTCAATGAAGTAAGACTTTAAAGTTCACAGAGAACAATATAAAATGCAATCAAAAAAGCAAATAGAAGATGCATTCTGTTACTCGGTCTCATTTGCATATACGAATAAAATCATCTGAAATAATAGATTCCTATAGCAAAATAATGAAAATACTTACATGAGGATGAAATTGGATTCAAAGCCATAAAATTACTATAAAACGAGGGACATGGAAAAATAAGAATAGAGTGCCAGGAAACGAATGAGGA